GTTATTGACAAAGGAATTTGTGTTGCAAGCCTTAAAAATAAACCTATATATTCCAGGACATTGAGACATTACAATACATGAAAATAAAACCAGATTACTTTTTACGATACTGAATGTTTTCAGAAATTAAATAAAAAATTATATTAAAGGATTCATTAAGGGTGAAGCTGGGTACTAAATTTTTTCAAGAAAATGTCTTTCTAATAACTAAATGAGACTCACTCCATTTACTCAATTCCCAAGATTTTCAGATTGTGTACTGACATCACAATGCAACATCCCCATCCCTCTTCAGAATACAGGGCACTGCACCTTCCCACATCAATGGGCAATCTGCTAAAGGCAGGTTAACCCAATAAGAAGAACACACATTTACTATCAGTCATTCAGTTGCTGTTTTGCCAGGAGTGTACTGACACCCATAAAAAAAAACAGTATTCAAATTATCTTCCAAATGGAAACATTCCTATCCTCTTGCAGGACTGCAGGAATTGCTATCTCCCTCCAGGACTCAAGTTCATTTCAATAGTTTCCCTGAAATCCCTTATTAAATGTTACCTTGGCTCACTCCAAGGGCAACTAATAAAAAGGACTTGTCTCTAATCATTCCTATCTAACTTAATTCACACATACTACCTGCTTGTATGTCCAAGCCCCTAAAATTCAAAGCTTCTTTTATCTCCTCCTCCCTCCAACCCATTCTTGAGAAAGACCCCTTGCTCTCTTACCTTCTACCCCAAATTAATGCATAGGATCCCTCATCATGTATCTTGTCCTCTTCATTCTCTCTACATACCAAAATCCACTGGACAACCTTCTCATCCCCATAGAATTGTAACCCTTGGTGGACTCTCACATTGCTTTTAATTTTCTACACTCTGAACAATATACACTGCTTATTTACCTGTTGGAAAAGATCTTAAGACCATGGGGTCCATCCAGCATGTTAGGAGAAGGAAAAGCAGAAGCATGTGTGGCAGATATCTCCGTGGAGTTGCACTAAAGCCTCAGTGCATAGGGGAGTTAACAGTTTTGTATGATGTCCAGATAACATAGCCACCTGCAGTTGGTAAATTATGTAGAGGATTAGTGACAAGCCTTGTCTGTACTTGCTTAATAGGTACATAAAACAGTAAATTACCCTTAACGGTCCAAAAACAATATCATATACGTTCACTCGAGTCGCGCCCAATTTTTTGAGAGAAAAAAAACTTTTTTTTGTTAACAAGGAAAAATGAAGCATATGGTACCCAGGCTATCCCCAATTATTTTAATATGGCACTCAGTGAAGTGAGCATCACCCATTCTCTCATGTCTAGTGACTCTAGGCTTATCGTGGCACTGTTGGAATGAATGACAAGAAAACGTTTATATACGTTGGGGCGTACGGCGTGAACGTTATATACGTTTGGCCATTTACGGGTTAAATAAAGACTGAAGAATCTGGCACAAACCATACAAATCAATACCCTCATCAAGACAAGTGGGGGGTTAGAGTTATATCAGTAATTTTGGAATGTTGCAGAGTTTTGAGTTCACATGAAAATTCATTTGGATTCTCAATTTTTATGTTTGGATTAACAAATCACCAAACAGTTATATAGTGGCAAATGCATTATGCTCATTTTCCGTACTGTCAATCAGTATGGGTTCATCTCTTTTAGAAGGGATCCAATACTACACGTGGCTTTTGCCATAGATGTTGGCTAAACATCCACCAAAGTGAAAGAAATCAGAAGGCATAATTAATGGCACGTTCACTTTCTCAGCAATTAAGCCATCCCTTAGGTTTTATTTAGTTGGTTTTTATTGGTTGTATTTCATTTTTTTGTCTCATTTGAATGAATGGAAGTATATCGAAATAGATATGATTTTTGATTACTTTACGATGAAAGTGCCTTGAAATTGAGCTCAAAGTAGGAGAAATGTTCGGATTCTTTAAAAAATGTATTTTTTGTTAATTTTTGGGAGTCTGGAACACGGATTAATTGTATTTTACATTATTTCTTATGGGAAATATAATCAGTTTTCATACATTTCGATTCAGAACGGACCTTTCTGCAATGGATAAAAGTATGAAAAACAGAGTTCCCGGTTTATTAATATACAGCAGGAGCCTGTAGCACAGGGAATATGTCCCAAGGCCTACTGCAGATTACCTGATAAACTGTGGAAGTAGCAAACTCTATATATATTTTTTCAGTTACATACCTATTTATGAAAAGTTAAATGTAAATGTTATGCCTCAGCTGGCTAAATAGTAGAGGAGAGATTATGCACTTATTTTTAATTGGGAATGAACTTATATGGCTTCGCTTAGGTACTGAAAGAAAGATGAAACTGGCAACATCACCGACGTTTTGTGCTTCTGGATGTCATTATTACAGTAGGATGGACCCTCTAATCGTTGTGAATTTAAATCGTTCAGAGAGTCTGACGAACGAAAGTTGAATCCTGATTCACAAAAAATTCGAAACCATTTTCCTCATTAAGTAGAATAAGGTAATCAATTACTCCATTCAGACAAACAAAAGTTATAACAAAAAATTACATTTTTTAGAGATTAAACCCTTTGTCTGTCGAAAACCCCAAATCATGAGGGTGCCTCTTGGTGCCGCAAAATATTTGAAAAAAAAAAAAAAAAAAAAAAAAATCTTATGAATGGACAGAGAATCTTTTCCCGAATGGAAAAGCCCCAAACGTACAAAATTTGATGGAAAACTTACAGAATTACGCTCCTCGCAAACGTTAAAGACTCAGCGATACTTAGGAATTGGCGATTTCCCCCACATTGAGTCTATTTTCGGCTATTCCATTGTTTCCAGATTGACCAAAAATCTCATAACTATTTCTTTAGGTTTGAACTCCATTTATCTATCGAAGTGAGTACAAGAAAATGCCATTGTACGATTTCAAGTACCAATAAGTGTTGTCAGAAACTGGCAATTTTGGCCAATTTCAGGCAAATTAAAAAAATAAGCCAATTTCAAAAATAGGGTCCAGAATAAACAATGCAGGGACATTCCTGTGCTCTAAAATAACATTTTTTTTTGTTTCTCCAGTCAGTCTCCAGGCCCTCTGATATTACTCTTGCTTCTATTTTGAGTTTTTTATTCAGAAAACAAAAACTAAGGAGAAAAAAAGGGGGGGGAAAAATTTACTGTTATGCTGATTAAATGCAATATTGTATAATTGTATAAATAACATCAACCCATTATGATGCATATTAGAATGGCTTAGTTGGTCATTTATTTTGACAATAATCATTTGTTTTACTTTGAACACTCGGCAAAAATCCAAAATTTCCCTACTCTGAGCTCCACTTCAAGGGTCTTTTTAACAGTAAACCAATCAAAATCACTCTATTTCTATAATATGCTTTCCTTTTCTATCAAATGTGACTACAAAAACAAGATAATATAAACATAAAAATTCTATATGAAAAATGCACCTTAAAATCAGCGTTTTATTCCAAAAACACGGGCGGAAGATTTTTTTTTCTCATTATGCACTGCCCGTTGCTGCGGTTTGTCTTTATATGGTGCACACTGACCAATAGGACCCGCATTCTCTCACATGGTGGGCTACCAGTTTTTCTCCTGCTTGATTTGAAGCGCTAGAATTTTTGAGTATCATAAAAACGTTCAACACGGGGCTCGTAAGACGTATTAATACGACAAAACAGTCAAAGGGTTAAATATAGACTTTTACATACAGAAAAGGAATGACAACTCAATATAAAGCATAATAAAATGCATAAATGAACATTTAACATCCACCACTTACCTTCATGGGAAGGACTTTGTTCGGTATGGAAGACAGGGAGGAGGGGAGTGGGACGCGAGTTTATGTTTGGAGGACGAACAGAAGATGCTTCAATATTATGCTAATATCAACTTACAGCTTATTTATCTACCACAATTCATTATTATTACATATAAACAATATTACTACATTGAATATGAACATACTATATTCTAGAATGAGATAAAATAGTATGTCATTACATATGTTATGGAGTGGTGGTGGTGGTTGTTGGGTTTATAAGGGCCACTGACAGTTAAGCCTACATATCAGTAGGTGGTGGTGGAGGTCGGCGCATTGTCAGTGGCCCTATATAGCTCCACTACATTGGAGGAGGTTAAGTTTCATGCCATCCTTTTTCAATTGATTAATCTCTTAACTTACGTGCTACACTGTTAATGCTTACACTTTATTGCTGATGGTGCGTCTAGCCATCATGATTCGTGCTGCTGTAGTACGTCATATTGTAGAAGCACTGAAGAGGGTACATTCTCCCCTCTCTCTTCTCTTTGCGCACACAGTGAGGAGGTTACTTTGCTACGATTTCTTTCTTAATTCCATCTGTTTCTCACTTTCTTTTACTAAAGGGCTGGCATCGGGCTTTTCTTTTGGCCCTTGTGGCTTATTTGTAGCAGTTGCAAGCCAAAAAAAAAAAAATGGATTATTAGGTAGTATGAACATGTCTCTTTTGGGGTGATGGTCACTCGCCGAGAAACAAAGCCAGACCCAGGACGAACTGTCTGAATGAGTGAGTGGGAGGGTTATGTAGAGCACGGAACTGGGACATGTTTCGGGACGACCATGATTTTAGAGTAAAGTCGTTAGTCATGAAAATAAACGCTATATTTTGAGAAAAAAATGTGGCCGATAATCGAAATTCACAAACATAAAGCCTCATGAAATTAGAGGTAGTAGTGTAAGTAAAATTAAGGGTTAGATTTTTGGACTACGGTAAACCGTGAATAACTCACACTGTGAAAACGGAACCCACGTATGTATAGTAATTAAAAATAATTGATCTTACCATCCACACATGAGACAGCTTGTGGCGAATAGAGCTTTGAAGAGTTAATGCTCATGAGTTTTAGTGCACTGATATTCCAGTTATTGCTTTGCTCTTCAGTACATGCCCATTTTCAGTTCTGTAGTGTGGTCTATTAAAGGCACATCTTGACCATCAGCCATACCCATTGGGTTCACTTTGGGGCCAGGGCTTCCAAGAGCTGCATTCCAACAGTGTGATCACTCTCAAAGTCACAAGACTCCTCTGCAAATATTCCAATTATTATTATTATGTGATGTTCTATATCTCACACATATGTTTACCACACACCTAATTTCACTCACTTGTACTCTTAGAAGCTAAATGTATTTCAGGTCACTGAGCAAATCAAAGAAAGTATTCCCATAATTCACCAAGCAAAGGGATTAGTAGAAGGTAATTCCACAATTTTCAAATCAGTATGAATAAAATTTATTTATACATGAATATGAATTTTGGTAAATAGATTATGTGTCCATATGCATGCACCATCAAAACTACATCACACAAGAAAATGAGCTGCTCACCATAACTTATTGTTTTAACTTTCCAAGGGTAATTAAGCCATGATAAGGTCACTAAAACCATGAATCCCTTACGTAATTCACATCATGAACCTTAGGGAATAGTGTTGACAATTACCGTAAAAACTTTGCGAAGCACTACTATCCATATGGGGGCGGTTGATAGAGGGGAAAACGCAGAAAAAATGCAACCAGCTGCACATTCGCAGCAGAACAAAATTATCCTAGCAAATAGAAATTCCAATCTATGCAAATTCTATGTCCTTGAGGTATCTGCAGGCTTTGGTATATCTATTAAAACATGTGGGACTACACCGTCTGACCCTCTCAAAAAAAATGGCCGTACTCACATGACAACAGGAGGGTTGCAACTCCCCTTCCTTGTAACTTATTTTCATCCGAAATGTTTCACTCGTCACTCCGTGAGAAAAAGAAAATGCTATTAAATATACTGCCAGGCATGTCATCTGAAAGGGGGACAAGAAGACACAGACTCCAGCGGGTACTATGGGAAACAAAGAAGGGAGCCATAACCTCTCAGGAAGGAGTTTGTTTAGTGCCATGGAGGAAAAAAGACTGAGCACAAAAATGACAGAAATCTGATACACAACTGAAAACATTCTGGAGCAGAGGCACAAGTTATTGCCTTCACTCCAGAGACATCAGATATTAAAGCAGCAAATGCCCCCCTATAATTCCAATCAAATATAACAACATTTATCATTGCAAACATACAGGGGTCTACAGACCGGTCAAAAACAACAAAGTTCCGCTTGACATCAATGGAATGCTCACTGGGTCCAAATGCAATGTGTTTGCCAGCGCTTTCACAGAGACCCACATAGAGGACCATTTTGGTCAGTAAAAATATTGAGATCCAGGTTATAACCTATTCAGATGTGAGAAACTAAACAGGCAACAAGGGGGTTCACTTGGTACATCACGCAGAGCGCTCATTTGCTGCAAACCTACTAAACGGCCTCAAATGATATGTTGAAGTTTTAGCAGTGTAAAGAGAATTGAAAGCCAAAACCTTATCATTGTGGTGGTTTACAAAGTCCAGATGCAACTTCCCAGGCAATTTCAGGAAACAGTTTATGGAAAATTGACACTGGTCTTGGAATATCTTCCCCAAATCCTGCCCAAAAACAGTCTTGCTACTAGGAGATTTCAACTTGAGACGCATCTAAAATAATTATTTTTAGCAGAGGATCACCCCAGGATGGTAGTCAGATGAATGAATTCACAACACTCATGAACTATTTAAATCTCTACAATCAAATTCACTTAAAGACCAGGAAATTATTAGAGCCTACATAGACTTAGAAAAGATATGTTGGACCTCATGTTCGCTACATTAACGCGATGATCTAAAATGTAATATAAACATATCAAAAAAAAAAAAAAAAAAAAAAGTCAATACAGTGGACCCGGTTAACGATTTTTAATCCGTGGAAAAGGTGGTTAAATGTTATGCGAAATAATGTCGTTATGTGTAATGAAATTGTCCCTTATGCAATAATGGAAATAAGAATTGAATGTCCGTGCAGCACCCTAAAAGTATGAAAAAAAAACTTTTGTGTTTACCACATGAGAATATTAAGTTTTAATACCCTCAAACTGAAAGGGCATGCACACTTACGATGCCACTTACTTTTATTGAAGAGAGATCTGGTGATGATTGATGGGAGGAGGATGAGGAGGGGAGAGCATTTTCGTCTTACGTTTTGAGGGGAATCCCCTTCCATTAGGACTTGATGGTAGTCAAGTCCTTTTTGGGGGTTACTTCCCTCTTTTTTATGCATAGGGCCAGCTCGATTCGACTGGACTTCTTTCGCAAAGATATACTGTCCATAGTGGCCTGTAACTCTCGTTCCTTTATGACTTGCCTAAGTGTTCACAACATTGTCAGTGTAATAATCCCAGCACGGCTCCTGCATAGCTGTTGATTTGTGAGGGTGATTTTCATCCATGAAGGTGTTGCTCTTCAAAGCCACTTTGACACAGAATTTCCTTTATCTTTGTTGTAAGGGCAATTCTTCAATTTTCTCTTCCCCTCCTCTGAAACAGTTTCCCCTGGTTGGCCTCTTGTCTTGAAGTTGATCTATCGCTCATCAGTGGGTAGTTCTTCATTGGTCCTTCCTCCACCAACTCTTCCACACTCCCCACTAACCTCCAACCACCAAAGGACTTTCCCATGCCTAATGGATTTCCTCAACTGGCATAATCCTCTCCAGGGCTAGCCTAAACCCTTCAAAAATCCCCTTTTGTCTACACTTCTGGCCACAGCGTTCTTCCAGCAGTCAGTTCAAGGTCCTCTTAGTCACTTCTCCAGCCTTACCTATAGGGGTTACGACAATTGAGGATATTAAAGTGATCTTCCAAACTCTCTTAGAGTCAGTTGAGTGTTCTGAGGTCATACAAAGGCACCATTCAAACAGAGCTTTTGTGTACAGTTCTTGAAGGTGGAAAAATAACTCCTGCTGGTCATGGGCTGCAGGTGAGGAGTGGTATTAGGCGGCAAAAACTTCACCTTAATGAAGCTATGTCCCCATAAAGGTGCTTGCACGTTCTGTCGGCTGACCTAGGGGCATTGTCTAACACCAGGAGGGCATTAAGTTCTAATTTCTTTTCGTTAGTAATCTTTTTCACATTGGGGGCAACTGCTATGGTGTAATCCAGTTATAAGAAAAAGTCCCTAGTGACCATGCCTTATGTTTGATTCCACGCACACACAAATTATTCCTTGAGGACGATTCTTTTGCTGAGACGCTCTGGGAGTTTCAGAGTGATACATAATTAAAGGGCTTAAGCTTATGACAATCACCACTAGCATTGGCACACATCAACAACAGTTAAGCTGTCTTTCATAGGTCTTATGTCATGGGAGTCCAGTGCCTTTTCATCCTGAGGAATGTAGTCCTGTTTGGCATTTTCTTCCAGAAACAGGCCTTGTTTCATCACAATTAAACACTTGTTCAGTTTCAGCCTTCAGTTTCTATATACTCCTTGAATTCTGCACATATTTTTAGTGCTTGTGTCCGGACTGGCAGGCCTCACATGCCTTATCACACTATGCTGCCACTACGCTTCTTAAATCTCTCAAACCAACCCTTTGCTGGCCTTAATTTCACTCACATCATCACTAGTTGCAGGCATTTTTTTAATTAAATCGTCATGCGCAACTTCTAGGCCTTTTCACATTATGATCGGCTTGAGAGACGCTATCTCCTGCTAGCTGTTTTTCATTTATCCACACCAATAAGAGTCTCTCAACATCTGTCCATCACTTGAGATCTTTGTTTCGAAAACACAGTTAAACTTTGCAACAACAGCTTCCTTGATTGTCTTTTTGTGTGCCCACAATAGTAGCGATGCGTTGATTGGGGTTTCTTGTACAACTTGACTAGGTCGGCAATACGCATCCACTTTCATACTTACATATGATCTCTTTCTTCATTTCAATGGGTTTCTTCCCCTTATCGGTGAACGGTTGGCCCGTAGAAGCTTTCTTGGGGCCGATGGTCACTTATTTTCCAGGAAACACCACGAAAACACCTGTAATGAATACGCGAAATATTCCGAGTGTTGTACTTGGATGGTAGCGCAGGATGGGTTTTGCTGCATGGCGTAAATAAACATGGCATGGGCGGCAATGTGAGGCTGGCGTGAGGGGCGCACATTGGACGGTCTCGGCACGAAAATCGTGTGAGCGGTTTTTAATCGGTGATGCGCGGCTCCAAAAATTTAGCGAGTTTAGTAAGCGGTTTATGCGAAATAATCGCTATGTGATGCCATCGTTATGCGGGGGTCCACTGTACACTCAGATCACAACATAACTGGTTACAGACCATGTATGCAAAGGGCTCTGACCAGCAAAATGTGATCAGGTCATGAAGGTTGTCTTCACAAACTTCAGCTTCAATAAACAATAACAACAATGGGGAACAAGATAACCATGTCCTAAATGAAACAAGCTGTGGGAAGATATCTAAAAACAACACGGATCCAAACCTCTTGCCAAAAAAAATTAACTCTGTGGCACTAGAGCCTTCTTAAGGCACATTCCATCAAGAAAAGGGAAAAGATAGAGAAGAGTTAAACTTAAAAGTGAGAGACGCTCCCTATAAGACTGAAGGTTGAAGAATCACAGTGCTGCTGAGAGGGGCCATATATTGAACTACGAGGGAAGGCACTGGTCAGTGAAATAGCAAATATCGAACTTTAAGGAATATTACAAGAGGCAAGAATTCAAGAAGAAGAAATAAAGTCATAAAGGAAGTTGAAAAAAAAAAAATACTTCTCTTTATGCCAATCTAAGGGATTAAATATGACATCAAGAGTACTGGGCCTGTTTAGGTGGATGGGACTCATACCACAGATGACAGCAAAAGAAATGAGTGAGAGTGAGATACTAAAGTTCCAAATAGGACTCAGTGGTCAGCAAGCATTACCTAGACTAAGGTCAAACAATCTAAACGAAATCTTTAGGACGGACCCAAAAATTTGGCCATTCAAAAATCTCTGATATTATCTAACACCACAAGATCTTTGGAAAGGCAAATAAATGACATGCCCTTGCATTTGCCCAGGCCCCAGACTTATGGAACTCCTTGTTCATCCCGGAAACTGCAAGAAGGCCCCTATCATTGTGCCTTCAGCTCCTATGGAGAGGAAGCAGGGACACAGGTTACCAACACC